AGAGAGAGAGAGAGAGAGAGAGAGAGAGAGAGAGAGAGAGAGAGAGAGGCCTGAGGGTAGCATAGGTAGAGAAAGGGAATGAGAGACATACCTGTTTAAGAGACCAGCGGCCACACCCGCCTGAGCGTACATACAAGAAACTGCTGCATGAAACGTGAATGTTTTAGCAATATCCATAGTGTTCTCATATCGTGTTGGTGTGCAACTCGTGTGTGAAGCTTCGGGTGATGAAGTGTGGATTGATATTGTGTGACAAGTGTTGTGAATTCCTCAAGAACACACAGACCCTTTTGTCGAAGTATGCCCTCTAGGGCTGATCACACATTGCAGCACAAATGTTCCCCCTTGTCTAGGCGCCTCTTCCTTTTCATAAGGATTAGCCGCATGCTGATTGATCAAGCTAATGAAAAACCATGCAATTCATGATCCAAATCTTCTGAACTGAAATACCGCCTCCCAGTTCTGTCAGACTGACGCGAAGTAGTTCCAAGATTCTGTGTGGTCTAACTTCAAGGCAACCTGGAATTTCAAAATGATAAAGCCATGAAAGAAAGGGGGTTGTGACAAGCTTTTGTAGGATTCGACTGGCTCATCAGGAGGGTGAACATTTGGAAGCCCCTCAGGGACCGCAATGCACCAGGCCAAACTCGAGGGTCTAGATTGAGTTACTTAGATTACAAGTTTGACCGGTTTTAAAAAAAAAAAAAAAAAAAAAAAAAAAAAAGTTTCAGCTTAGATGCTTCAAGTATTGAGGAAGGTCCCGACTCCCGAGGATGAAGCCATGAACCAGGGAGCCTAAAGCCGGACAGCAAAGATGCTGAGGCTGAAAAAAATGATATTTTGAGGAGGAAACTGTATTTGGAGGTGACACTAATGGTTGAAACTTGAATATCTGGTCAAGCAAATGGAAAGGAAAACTTCATAGAGAACAAAGGGGTGATATAGCCCACCCACCTCATGAGCTAGCATCTGCCGGAGAGTTGTCGACAACTGGCGGTGCTGTGGTGTATGATCCTGTAGACAGCCCACGGAGCTCGGAAAACAGGTCAGTTATGTCCTCCAGAGCAAAGGAGGTAACATAATTCTCAAATTTCATCTAAGCAACACTTTTTTTCTTCTTCTTATTTTCACTACCTCCCTACCATTACTCCTAAGACTATATAGAAGGGACCCCTGCAAGCATAGGGCCTCGCAAACCTCGAGGTAATCATGTTGCCCCCCGATCTTTGCGTTAGCCGTACCCCCACCGGCAGCCCCACCCCATCTCTGACTACTGATGTAAGCAACACTTGGAAGAGGGAAATAATTGTTTGAATTCAACGACGCAATTGGGTTTTCGATCACATTCGATTCTTTCTACCTTACCCATCAACGAAGTGTTACTTTGAAAGTCAATTCTTCGCTGCAATCGTTTTGTGCGTGAGGCTCTATGGCAAAAGGGTGATACAACCTGTGGAATTTCGTCCAATAGATGCCTTTTTTGAAACTAAAAGCTAATTGTTTGAGTGGTTTTCCTTTCCAGCGACTGTTTTTCATACAGCGTCGCTCCGGAATCATTTTCACGGCTTTTAAAGTGTTTTTTGCTTTGCTTTTCCAAACGGGTTTCATAAGACAAGAGTTACTGTTGCATACCGTATAGGTGCAGACCAGAACAAGAACCGACCTTTCAATACAAAGTATAAAATAGCACAGCGGAAGACTTAGATACCAATGATCCGAACAATCAATATTTCAATGCAGCCCCAAACATACATCATCATCATCATTCCATGGTGTGAAGGGGTCTGGCGCTTCACACAGGAAGACTGCGCCAGTCCCAACCATACACAGACGAAGAAGATGGGGTTTAGACGAAGAAGAGGGGAA